ATTCACACGGAGGTATGTAGACAAAGTAAATTGTTTCAAATGAATATATTGATTTTGCGATAGTGAATTAGTCACATCTGATTTTCGGACAGAAAAATAAGAAAACAGAAAATAAAAAAGAGAATGTATATAAAGAGAGTTAAAAACTGTGGGGATATGTATGAAAAATATAGAAGACAATGCAGAGTTAAGTAAGAAATACTGAAAAATAGAAAAACTGCAAAAAGATAGAAAGATGAAAAAAGCAAAAAAAAAAAAAAAATAGAGAAGGATAAAATCAAAGATTAAATATAGGAAAAAAATGGGAAAAAAATTTATAGAAAGCCACAAAGGGATGATGGAAAAGATAAAAAAAGAAAGGCAAAATTAGGAAGAAAAAGAAAAAAAAATTAAGTAGAGAATGCGAAGAAGGAAAAAGAACAGAGAAAAAAGAAAAAGAGAGAAGGATAAAAAAAAAGACAAAAAGAAGAAAGGCAAAGAAAAACAAATGAAAGAGAGAGTGTGAAACAGGAAAAAGAAGAGAAGTTTAAAGGAAAATTAAATATAAGAAAAAAATTGGGAAATTTTATAGAAAGCCTCAAGAAAAAGTTGGGAAAAAAAAAAAAAAGAGAGACAAAAAAAAGGAAGGAAAAAAGAACAAGTGAAGGTGAGAAGCATGAAAAAGAAGAAAGAAAAAAGAGAAAAATAAAAAAGAAAGAAAAAAAATAAAAAAAAAGAAAAAAGAAAAAAAAAAAAAAAAAAAAAGAAAAATAAAAAAAAAAAGAAAAAAGAAGGAAAAAAAAAAAAAATGAAAAAGAGTCAAAAAGAAGGAAAAAAAAAAAACAAGAAGAATAAAAAATGAAAAAAAAAAGGAAGAAAAGAAAAAAAAACAAATGAAAAAAGAGAAGAAAAAAAAAAAAAACAAGAAGAGGAAAAAAGAAAGACAAAAAGAAGGAAGAAAAGAAAAACAAATGAAAAAGAGTGAGAATCAGGAAAGAGAAAAGAAAAAACAAGAAGAGGATAAAAAAGAAAGACAAAAAGAAGGAAGAAAAGAAAAAATTGAAGTAGAAAGTGAGAAACAGGAAAAAATAAGAGATGAAAAAGAAAAAGAGAAGATAATGAAAGATTAAATATAAGATAAAAATGGGAAAATTTAATAGTAAGGCACTAAGAAAAGGTGGAAAAGATAAAAAAAGAAAAAAGCAAAAAGAAGTAAGAAAAAAACAAGGGAAGGAGAGTGAGAAAAAAGAAAAAAGCAAAAAGAAGAGAGAAAATGAAAAGGCAAAGGTGAAAAAGAAGAAAACAAATTGAGAAATATATAAAAAGAAACAGTTAAAATTTTTTAAAAAATAGGAAAAAAGAAAATTAGAAAAAAAAATGTAAAGGAATGAGAGTGGGAGAGGTTAGAGAGGAAGAAAAATGTCAAACAAAAAAAACAATATGGAAAAAGAGAAAAATTCATAATAAAAAGCAAAAAACAGAAAGTGAGTTACAAAACAAATGAAAAATGGATAGAAAGAGGAAAAAAGAAGGAAGAAAAAATTAAAAAAATAAAAAACAGAAAAAACATGAGAAAAAAAAAAATTTAATAGATAAAAAAAATCTAAAGAAAAGAGAAGGAGAAATTAAAAACTGAAAATGGATGAAAAAAAAGGGAGGACAAAAGAATAAAATAGAGAAAAGAAAGAAGAGGCTCTATCCTTCCAGAAAAATAAAGAAAGAATTTCATAAAGAAAATAGAAGAGTGGACAAAAAAGAAAAAAGGATAGAAAAGATCACTAAATATGAGAAAAAGTGAAAAATTTATTGAATGAGACAAAAGAAAGTTGGGAAAGAAAAAGAATGAAATGAATAAGACATAGTAAGAGCAAAAAAGAATAAAAAATAAAGGAAGAACAAAAGAAGAAGGAAATTAGAATCAGTAAAAAAAGAAGGGGTAAAAAAAGTAAAGGTGAAAAATAAGAATGGAGAAGCAAAAAGAGAAAAATAAAGAAAAGAGAAAGGAGACAAAAAAAGAAAGGAAAAAGTTAAGGAAAGAACAAAAGAAGGAAATGAGAATCAGCAAAATAGGAATAGAGAAGGAAAAAACATATAAAGAGAAAAGAAAGAAGAGAGATTAACAAACAAAAGAATTAAGAGGAGAAGAAAAGAAGGATAAAAAGAAAAAGTAAAGGAGAAAAATAAGAATGAAAAAGGAAAGAAGAGAAATAAAGAAAAGAGAAAGTAAAATAAATAAAGAAAAAATGGTGGGAAGAACAAAAGAAGAAAAGAAATGAAAAATGGTTATTACTTCTTTTTAAACAAAACAGAAATCTTTTACTATATCTTTATACAGTAAAAGATTTCTGCTTTGCTTTTCAATTCTGATAAACTCCTAATTAAAAACAAAAGGTTGAAGGATTTGTTCAGATTGAACAAACCACAAAATAAATTGCATTTTCATGCTTTTTTTAATGATATTACCGTTAAAGTAACTGCAGAAATAAAATTTGTTAACAAAAATAAAGAAAATCCCTCTTCAAACATTGTGAATTAAAGCTACAGAACTACAAACAAAGAACTGTACCAAATATCAGAAGCCTCATCATTTGAAGATTATCAATATCTGCAACAACTAAAATGCATGGCATATGTAACTCAAAGGAAAAATAATCACATAATCAAGATGTCGATGTTCCACACTATTTCAAACTTTCAATCACCTGTCATCCATCATCATGGGGTGAACATGATCAATATATTCTTCAGTGTTGACAGTTGCAGGGCATCTCTCCCTTTAACTCCTAAATTCAGCTGCTCACTTTTGCATTGTTGATAAAGCTAAAGAGTCATCCCCTACTGTAGCAACAATGTCAACATGAATGCCCCTCGTTTTGTGGGGGGGGGGGTTAAGCCCTTTTCTGTAGGTATTTGTTAATACCATTATGCCAAATGTTATCCATTTTCAAGAGAATTCATTCCAAGTTACTTTTGAAGTCTTCTTCGAACAGTCAGATGTCAGTTTACCTGAAAAGAAACAATTTCAGTTATTTATAAGAAGATCTGAAATTAATGCAGGTAAAATTTCACAGCTCCTTCATGGTCAACCTCTGAACTTTCCAACCCACCCTAGTATATGCCTAAATAAATTTTTTTATAGTCATATATCACCATGTGGTGAACATGATCAAGGTTTTCCTCAGTGATGGCAGTTGCAGAGACATCCAGACCTTGGGTCATCTTCAAGACTCTCTCTTCCCTTCCTAAATTCATTTCCCCACTTTTGCACTGTTGATAAAGTTGAAATGTCTTTCCCTAATGTAGCAATTATGTCAGTATGAATATTGTATTTGTTAACACCATTATGCCAAATTTTGTCCATTTTCAAGAGAATACATTCCAAGTTACTTCTGAAGTCTTCTTTCAACAGTCAGCTGTCAGTTTACCTGAAAAGAAAAAAAGCAATTATTAATAAGATTTGACATTAATACAAGCAAGATTTCATAGCACCTTCATTGTCAGCCTTTGAACTTTCCAACCCACCCTAGTATGCGCTTAAATAACTTTTTTCTCTAGATCTCTGTTCATATTCATTTGTATAAGCTACAATAATGGAAACAAAAATAAAGAAAAATTTATTTTTTTATAATGAATATAAAGAATATGACAATGGAAACCAAGAGAAAAAAATAAGATGCAAAAAAAGAAAGTTTGAATTTCTGAGATGAGAAATTATTTATATTGCTAACATTAGACTAATGTTGTTGTTGTTGTTCTTCTTCTTCTTCTTCTTCTTCTTCTTATTATTATTATTACAATTATTATTATTATTATTATTATTATCACAATGTTTCAGCAGTTGTTCCTTCCAGCCTTCTTCAGGTGTCTGTCTATATGGGTAACCTCAGGGAATCTTGAACTATACTTTTTATTTAATCTATAGGAGTAGTTTGTTCTAGTTCCACTGTCAATGTTTTGTACCCTCTAACTTTCTAGGGTCTGTCAATCTGGGTAGCATTTGATGAATTTCAAACAGAACCCTTTATTCAATCTATGGGGCTAGATAGTTCTCATTCATGAATAGGGTTGTCTCATTTACTTTTTTTAGTACAGCTCATGTACTGCTCACACTATTTCAACTGAATCTATACTACTTGACCAGGAAATTTCATGGTGTAGTAACTGTGAATTAAACCCCTGAGCTGCATAATACTGATTTATACACAGTAAAAAAACAAAGCAGGCAATGAGTAGTATTAAAAAGAATAAAATATGATATTCCTGGACATGGACAGTGGAATGAGAAGAACTCCACTCCAATAGATTAAATAAAAGTTTCAGTTTAACATTCACTGAAGATGACCCAGATTGACAGATGCCAAATGAAAGCCAGAGGGCATTATGGAGTCTCATTCACATGATATACCAGTAGAAATTAGCCTTGTGTTCACAGACATAAAAGCATACTTGACAGGAAATAAAACATACACAAATAACAGGAAAAGCATAGTAAATTGTATATTTAATTTCATACAATTTTATTTATATTTTTCTTGTGTGTTTTGGTGTGTGTATTTTTCAGGTCACAATTTGGTGACATAAATTTATGGTACATGTGATAAAAAGGGAGAATTTACTCCGTAGTATTACAAGCCATATCACAGAAAGAAGTCAGACATGTGTTGCCTGCCTGAGGGTTCTTGGTGAAGAGATTGAATTTAACATCTTTTGGTGGGATGTCTGTATTTTCAGCAGGAACATTTTTTTGTTGCATGATAGGAGTATTTTTATTATTTTTAATTTTTATTTAATTTATTTTATACAATGTTTTTACGTTATTGTTTTATTAATTTTCCTTATTATTATTATTTTATATTTTATACTATTATTTTATATTTTATTTTTATTTCTCTATAATAATAATTATATTACTACAACATAATGGCCAAAACATTGTAATAATAACATCGTGGATGAGGATATTAGTCTGAATGTAAATAATGGTATTACTAAATACAAAGGTTTACAGACATATAATGTTTAAATGCCAGTACTAGTCTGATCCCCAAAGTTAAGCAACATTGAGCCCAATCAGTATCTAGATGAGAGACTGCTTGGGAATACCAGGTGCTGTAAGCTTAGATGTGAGTGTGGTGCAATGGATAATGGCTTGGAATTAGAATTCAGTGGAGTGCATTGTATTCATTTATACACAAATACCATTGGGAAAGGTATGAATACACCTCTTCTCCCCCATTTATGGGTTATACAGCAAGACTTTTATCAGTAAATCATTATTATCTCAAAAATATTCTTACAGTCCAAAAATATTTTCTGGCTTTAAATAACCTGCAAAAGATTGATAAAATAAATCAATCAATCAATAAAAAATACTGAATACAAAAGTAGCCTGAAGAAGGTTGGGGGTTTGGTTCTGAAACAATTTGACTATAACAACCAAGATAAAGACAAAAATTTGAATAAATCAGTGTATAGGATGAATGAAGAGAATCAGAAATGTGAATATAAATATCTGTATGAAAGAAAGAAAGAAATGGAAGTAAAAGCAAGTTTAATGTAAAGAGATTGGAGGAAAGAGGAGATTGGAGAGTCCTGAAAAATTAAAACAAAAGGATTATTAAGATTCCACACCACTTCACAAAGAAGGTAGAACACACCACACTGGCCATGCAGATACACAATGTATATTATTATTATTTGGTGGTTGATAACTTAACATCAGTTTAAAAATAATTTTTAAAAAAATGAAGGATGACCATAAAACAGTGCTGAAAAAAAATAAACGGGGGTAATACATGCTGGCCCTGCTTTTCACTAACAGAAAGTGATAATTTGAATCATGGGTAAGCAGGTAGTATAAAAATGCTGGAAATGAATATCATCCTTCTTTTAAAATTGTGGACTGGCGCGACAGAATCACAAACAAAGAAGTATATAAAATAACAGAGACTGCATCACTTCAGGATTACCAACAGCAGCAACAACTAAAATGGATGTTACTTGTAACATGAAGAGAAAATAAGGATATAATCAACATGTTAACATCCCACACCACTTCAAATAAAAGGTTAGGGAGGAAACCCTCATCAATACTGAAAAGAGTGATACAAACTACTGGACTTGAGAAACCTGTTTTCTTAAAAAAAAAAAAGGTGTTTGAAGAGTATTAGTTGCTCAGTCAATGAATGTATTGGGTTACCTCCACCTAATTTTCAAAACCGCTACTAGGGGATGCTTTCTGAACTATAAATACTCGGCGATATTTTTTCTTGGTCTCTTCTCACCTTTTCTGCTTACATGTCAATATGTAAGTCTCTCGCAGAGAATGCATTCCTTTTGGGAGACACATGAACAATACATACACACACATGTATGTATGCGCATTTTCTCACTATATATACTTTGGAGCATTAGGTTTTTCACATTCATTTGATACACATGTCTTTGTCACTTGTAATTCATGTTCTTAAACAGCCTCTTCAGATTCATATGGATACTATGTATGGTACCAAACCTGTTCAGAAATATTTAAACAGTCAGCGGTATAAAACTGCTTCCTAAGATCAATGGTTAAAAAAGGCTTAGAGCGATTAAAACCTGAGCGTCTTGAGAATGATAATACTTCTTGGAAGATTGTAGATTGGCGCTACAGAATTCTAAACAAAGAACTGTATCAAATAATAGAAAGAACATTACTTGAGGACTGCCAACAGCAGAAACAACTAGAATGGATGGCACTTTCGCCTGAAGATAAAATAAGGACATAATCAAGACGTTAACATCACATGCCACTTCAAATAAAAGGTTAGAAAGGAAACCCCCGCCAATACCGGAAAGATAGATACAAGCTACTAGACTTGAGAAATTTGTTTTCCTAAAAAGTGTTTGAAGAGAAAGATTTTATAAACTTCAAACGAAAGCAGTAATGGTGGCTCAGTCAATGAATGTGTCTGGTTACTTCCTCCTAATTTTCGAAACCGCTACTAGGGGATGCTTTCCGGACTATAAATACCTGGTGATATTTTTTCTTGGTCTCTTCTCATCTTTTCCGCTTAAATGTGAATATGTAAGTCTCTCACAAAAAACGCGTTTCTTTAAGGAAATGCATGAACAATACATACACACATACGTATATATGCACATTCACTTGCTACACATATATTGGACCATTAGGTTTTTCACATTCATTTGATGCACACGTCCTTGTCTTTGTCACTTGTAATTCAAGTCATGTTCTTAAATAGCCTCTTCAGATTGAGACTTTCATATGGATACTATGTATGTACCAAACCCATTCAGAAATATTTAAACAGTCAGTGGTATAAAACTGCTTCCTAAGATCAATGATTAAAAACGGCTTTGAGTGATTAAAACATCAGTGTCTTGGCAAAGATAATACTTCTTGGAACATTGTGCACTGACACTACAGAATCACAAAGAACTATATAAAACTAGCAGTATAGCATGGCATTGCCCGGGGATGTAACAGTAAGAGATAGATCAAGTATAGACCATAATAAAGACTGAAAAATAAAATTGACAAAGATTATTGTTTTAGGTTGGCGGACACGCATGTCTTAATTAGTTTTTTTTTGTTTTGTTTTTATTTTTACGAATTGGTCAAACCCAAACTCAAACAAAAACATTGTTTTCAATAGTTATGAGTCTACCGATTGAATAGAATTTTATTATAAACAATTGTCTTGTAAATGGAATTTTTAAAGCATTCTGAATGTACAAATAAAGAAAAAAAGTGTGCAAGACAATAAAAAACACTACCTGCCAAAAAAAAGTGAAGTTTTGTTGAAATCAGTTGAAAAATGTAGGAAATCCGATCCCATATATAAAGGAACACACACACACACACACACACACACACACACACACACATGCACACACACACAAACAACCTGGGTTTTCTAATAAGTATAACTCGATATGAGTTGTCCCCCTTTCATTCTCGCAACAGTGATGCCTCTTAATCGTGTTTTCAAATTGATTTCATGCAAAAACAATCATGTTTTTCCCATTTTTGGTACTGTCAGAACCACCGCAAAGTAATTTTATGTAGTCCTGTGAAGTTTTGTTGAAATCTGTTGAAAAATGTAGGAAATCCGATCCAATATATAAACCAACAGACACACACACACACACACACACAACCTGGGTTTTATAATAAGTATGATAACAGAAACTGCATCACTTGATTATTACCAACAGCAGCAACAACTAAAATGGATGTCACTTAAGATCAAGATGTTAACATTCCACATCACTTCAAATAAAAGGTTAGGGAGGAAACCTCCATTAATATTGGAAAGAATGATAACACTTACAGGACTTGAGAAACCAATTTTCCTAAAAAAGCATTTTAAGAGAAAGATTTTATAAACTTCAACTGAAAACAGTACTGTCTGCTTGATCAGTGAATGCCAAATATTTCCTTATAGGGAAACAGCTAATATTATCATTCCGATTACCATACCACAGAAAGTTTATTTCTTTTCATGTAACATGTTTCATCTTTTAGGATTTGATAGGACTAAAGTGATGTTTATATTACATATGCACATGAAGGGGAGGGGATGCTGAAATTTGAAATATAAATTTTATTAAGTTTTTGATAATAAAAATGATAAAAACATCCCCCCCCCCGCCGGAAAAAAAAAAAAAAAAAATGAAATGAGTTAAACTTGGGGTCTGTGTGTACGACAGTGGTGAAGAGATCCTGATTGCAGGCTCCGGGCAGTGCTTCGTGACCCTCACTATCTTATTAACATTTCCTTTATTCTACTTACATTTATATATGTTACAAATTGAACTAAGCACAACTTACTATTAAAGGATGAAAAATTTTGATGGATTTTGATATTATTCTGGGGTCTTTTTTTTTTGTTCAAATCCATGAATTTGTGTTGCTTGTGCTAAGACTCATGCTAAAAACACTATATAAAATTCACTATCTTTTATCCATAAAGTTGAATGTGTTAAAAAATTATTCAACTTTTTAACAACAAAAATCTCAAGTTAATGTTAAAAATTGCTGAAAAACATTTATTTAAGATGGAATGATCTATTATGATTTATTTAAGATGGAATGATCTATTATGATTTATTTAAGATGGAATGATCTATTATGACATGAACAGTGAAACAAGAACAGTCTACGCCCGTAATTAAAGGGTTCGTTCGTTAAAGATTTCCCCTGTAGGTTAAACTGATATACACCTGATGAAGGCCATAGAGAGCAATGGCTGAAACTTTATGATAACAAAAATAAGGATGAGGATAATAGTCTGAATGTAAATAGTATAATTAAGACTACTCATTTATACTACCATAGATTGGGTGCCCCAGGCAATATTTTGTGGCCCTGCTATCTTATCAACATTTGCTTTTTTCTACTAACATTTATATACATTACAAATACAAACACATCTGACTATTAAAGGATGAAAAATTTTTGTGAATTTTGATGTCATTCTGTGGGAATGCTAAGTCTAAAAACAAAATTATACAAAATTTACTATTTTTTATCCATAATGTTGACTGTGTTATATTATTCAACTTTTTAACAACAAAAATCTCAAGTTGATGTTAAAAGTTGCTGCATAACATTGTTGATTTGTTTAAGATGGAATGATCTATTATGACATGTCTCTAATTCGTATTGAGATACATTGTATTTATTTTCAATATTTCATATAATTCCATACTGCATATAATTAGGTACTATAAAATTTGTATTTTATATGAATACTACCTTACGAAAATTGAGATGGAGTAGATTTGGAGGGTGGGGGCTGGATTCTAATTAATACATTCGGGTGGGGAAGGGCATGAGTCCCTTGCATCAACCCTGGCTAGGCTAAATACCCAAAACATATCTTAAAAAAAAATTATTGAAATTTAAAATTTCAGCAGCCCTCTCATTCATTCATATGGGTAATCACAACAACATAATGATCACTTTAGTTTTTGTTTTGTTTTGATTTACAGCATGTTGACACCTCAATGGGTTATTTAATGCCGACAAGATTTTTATTGCTGGTAATATTTTTTCCAAAAATGTACTGCTGGTAATATTTTTTTCCTTCAAAAATGTATTGCTGGTAA